CTCTGTGTGTGTGTGTGTGTGTGTGTGTGTGTGTGTGTGTGTGTGTGTGTGATAGAGATTGAACTCAGGGATTCATACATGCTAAGCTATCACACTACCATTGAAATGTATAACTTAGCCTTTCTTTTTTCTCAGTTTTTAGTTTGAAAAAAGTATCTAGTTAAGTCTCCTGGACATCTTTGAATTCACTGTGTAGCTGTGGTAGGCATTTAGGCCTTGTACTTGTGATCTTGCTGTCCTGGCCTCCTGAGTAACTGGAATTACAGGCTTGTGTCACCAGGCTTGGATTTTTAATGAGATGGGCCCCACATTCTCCCATTTGACTTGGCCTAAGTAGAGCAAACACCAAATTGTACATAATGAGTCCACACTGAGGCCTTGACACAGTCCATAATATGTATGAATGTCCAAAATCCATTAAGTCTGTTTAGCCTGGATAATTAGCTGGTGAGTGGTAAAAATTTAGACCTTGGTGTTCTTAAAGGAAAGCAACTGAAAAAGTTCCACCTTCCTGGCAGCTGACTAGACATCATCTAAAGCCTGTTTCTATACAGTCCTCACCTGACAATTATTTTGATTTAGTTTGTATTTTAAAGTGGTTTTAAATACACATACAAGGAATCGGCAACAGGGTATCTGTGTCCCTCAAGGTTTAAGATACTTACCATATGACCCTGCATGGGATGGGGTGGTGGGAATTGCCAGACCCTGCAGTCAACCAGAGGTTCACTAGATATGGTCCTTATTCCAGCTTGCAGATTCTTCGATCTCTCCAATTCACCATCTAGGTATGGAACCCAAGAGTGCCTGTGATAACAGCCCTTAGTGGTTCTGATGCATGCTAGAACTTGAGACTTGTTCATCGTAGAAGATCACCTTTCACTCAGTCTTCCACAATGCTCGACGGATAAGGAGAGATTCAGAGTAGATTGTGGCCAACTGCTAAGGGAGTGGATTTTTCGTTTTGTTTTTTGTTTTTTCCCAATAACTTCCATACTCAGCACATCCACAATCTGTACTTCTCTCCCAAAACCCTGTCAGGACTTTGATCCAATCTGTTATGAAGGTTCATGGGGGAATCTAAGGCCTATGTATAAAAACAAGAGATTGTGGAGGCTAGTAAAATGGCTTAATGGGTAAAGGTGGGTACCACCAACTCTGACAAACTGAGTTCACTTCCTGGAACACACATGGCACAAAGAGAGAACTGGCTCCACAAAGTTGTCCTCTGACCACCACACATGCACACTATAAATAATACAAATAAATAGATGAATAACATAATGATTTTAAAAGAAAACAGTGGATTTTGTTGTACTAAGTGTAGTTAATGATGTCCCTTAACTGTGTGATCCAAAGCCACAGAATGCTGACTGTTCACCTTATTCTCTGTTCTCCTCCTCCTTCCATCTGCCTTATGTCCCACATCTCTATTGCTATCTTGTGTTCACTCCCTCCTTACTCCCTTGCCCCTTCCCCTATTTTCTCTTGTTCTTTATCCCAGTTTCAACTTTTCTTCTGCCTCTCTCTGCTTAACCCTACCTCTTCCCCTCTCCAGATATCTCTTTCTCATTTCTTTTCCCTTCTCTGATTTCATTGCTGCTTGTCTAGGGTTAAATGGTTAAAACAGCAACAACAGTATTTCCTGTGTAAATACATTCCTACTAATAATGATGTTAAATGGAAACTTCTGATTGCAGAAAACTATCAAAGGAAGAGGGCTTGAAATTTCTAGTAGTCAGCTGGGTGGTGGCAGTACATGCCTTTAATCCCAGAACTTGGGAGGCAGAGGCAGGCAGATCTCTGTGAGTTCAAGGCCTGCCTGCTCTGCAAAGTGAGTTCCAGGATAGCTAGAGCTATTAACACAGAGAAACCCTATCTTGAAAAATCAGAAAGAAAAAAAAAGAAAATTTAGTGGGGGTCAGTGTCTTGTGATAGGGCTACCAGTAGTAATACTGTTAGCAATAATGTTTCACTGTTTTTATTGTGGTTACTTTGTACTGAGCTTGTATCACTTACAAGTGTCTTTCTAAGAAAGTACTTTTCAGTATAGTCTGGGACCCTGGTGGATGCCCAAGACACTTCCAGAAACCTGTGAGTTCAAATGGCTTTTATCCTAGTTCTAAGGTATCATTTGCTTTTTTCATTGTCCTGACATGTGTACTGATTATACAAAAGCAATAGCAGATCAAACTGCTGACTATAACCAGAGCCAAGAAAAGTAGTCATTGTGCTTATCGTGTTCAGGAAAGAAGGAGAGAGAAAAGCCAAACTCATTTTAGAAAGTCTCTAATGATACAGAAAATTTTATTAATCATTGACCTTTGAAGTCATGTGCTTTTAATGTCTTGTGTGAGAAAATGGGGGTGTACCCATAGAACATGCTAAGTGTGTTTGACTTGGGAGATTACTTAGTCCCTTTTCACTGACCACCATTTTTTTTATTTTTTATTTGGAAGAAGAACTGACAAATAAACTGTGTTTATGCTAACTTGGATATGTGGCAGACATTTTCCTGCAAGTGGATAAAGGCAGCTGTAATTTTAAGGAAAATATCCTACGGGTACAACGGCCAACGGCATGATCCCTCCTTAATGAGACAGAGGCTATGTTAACTCTTTTAAAGCCATCTTATGCTCTCAAATGTCATTTATAATGAAAGGAAAACTGTGCTTGGAATACTAATGAATTTTCAAATTACAGAGCTAAAACTATTTCCTAAAGTTTATGTACTATGGAGCAACTCATTTTATAGATTTGAAAAATAGAGCCCATATATTAAAATCGATACCCCGGATGACATTCCAAAATTGTGTGATTTATGGTCTCATATTTTATGGTGTTTTAAATTTCCAAGTACTTCATACATTCTTTTTCATCTGACCCTCACACAGCTCTCTGAGTATATAAAACAGTTTGCTGATGAAAAAAGGGAGACTCAAATAGGTTAATTGTCTCAATGCACTTTATACTTTGCCTGCCCTTTCATCTATTATCAAAGGGCCCTGAACTAAAGGCAGTACAAGTGGAGAGGAGGTAGACCCTGTACAACATAGCAACTAAATACTTGTGAAAGAAAAGGAAATACAGAAGCTGGAGAAATTTCCAAAACTGTTTGCTTTAGCACTGAAGAAGAAACTAAAGGTAAAGACAGAATAGAGTCTGTCAATAAATGTGTCATCTACTCTGGAGAATCCGTAAGATGTACAGGCTGTGGACCTTACTGTTGTTTTGGGAAAGATGGCGTGCGTACCAGTAACTCGAATTCAAGATAAATATTGTTGAATGCCTTAAGAAGAGCTTAAATGAAGATCTGGTGCTGCAAACCAAAGAATGACCTTTGGTCCTAGGAAAGATTTGTGAGAAGAGGAAGTGTCTGAAAGGAGTGCTGCCACATGGTCGAATTGGGATGTATAGGAGTGATTCCAGGGAGACAGGAAGAATTCACTTACAGTAAACTAATAAGAAAAGCATACAAGGAGGAATATCTGGTATAGAAGTTGGTGGGGAATATGGCATCTGTATGAAGACACACAATTATAATTATGATTGGAGATGTTGGCCTCAGACTCTGAAAACATGCTGCTGCTGCATGTTATGGTTTAGATGTGAAGTAGTCCCTGAAAAAGCTTGGGTGTTGAAGGCCTTGATTCCCCAGCTGGTAGCAAATGAGAAGTGACTGGATCATGGGGGAACTGACTTCATCAGTGGACAAATCCATTGATGAGTTCATAGCAGAATGGTCTATTAGGAGACAGGGCCTTGCTGGAAGAAGTTAGTCACTGAGTGGTCATGCAGTTGAATAGTATACCCAATCCCTGCCCCCCCCTCTCTCTCTGCTACTTGTCTGCCATGATATGAGCGGTTTTGTTCTCTAGTACCATTCTGCCATGACATACTACCCTCATCACCAGTCAAGAAATAATTGAGAGAGTTGGCACAGAGTAAAAGATCTGAAACTGTGACCCCAAATCAATGTTTCCTTAGCTGGTCTCCTTGGTGCACCCCTGTAATCCCAGTACTTGGGAGTCCAAGGGAGAAGAGCCACAAGTTGGAGACCAACTGTAATCCACAAAAAGAATCTTTCCTTACTTTTTTGATTTTTGTCACAGGAAAGAAGTATTAGCTAGTACAATGGTATGCTAGATAATGGACAGTTTTCTACTTGACTTTTTAAAATAATGATGTCCTGTGCCATATACTAAAGTGCACACCTGTGACTCTAGCTACTAAGACTGAGGCAGGAGGACCACTTGAACTCCAAGAATTCAAAGACCTGCTAAACAACATAGTTAGACATCTTCTCAAATGTGTAGTCTGTTACGATAAATCTTTTTGCCAAATGCCACCTGAGCCCCACTGCCACATGTGAGCTTTACAACAGCTGTCTGCCCGAGTTAGACCCAAATGATTACACAGAAACTTGTATTAGGTTCAAAGCTGCTTGGCCAATGACTAGGACTTCTCATCTGCTAACTCAGTCTTAATTATCATAAACCTATATATTTTATAAGACTTATCTTATCGGACACCTTATTGGCGTCCCTCCTTGCTGGTGGCTCACATTGTGCTGCTGGAGCAGGAGCAGAGGGGAAAAGAGGGGCACTTCCTGTTTCTCCTTCACTTAAATATGAGTCTCCTTGCCATGTCACTTCCTGCCTGGATCAGCATCTCTCTACTACATTTCCCAGAATCCTCTTTGACTCCTAGTCCCGTCTACTTGCTGTCTCATTGGCCAAACAGTATTTTATTTACAATCAATAAGATAAACATACACAGTACATTCCCCATCGGTAGTCTTTAGATAACTTTGTTCTGTTCTCACTTAGGAATACGGTCAGTACTTTAGATTGTATTTTCACCTAAAAATCATCCCCATGTGTGTCTTGGAGAAGTATGACTTTGTCTTCCATATCTCTCTTCTCCTTTGCCATTATTTTTGTTATTTTTTGCAGCACAATTAACCTGATTTAGTTGTTCCTTATTGTTTTTTTCTCCAGAAAAATCAGAAAAATATGATCCACGTGATGTTGAAAGGCTTCAGCAAGATGATAACTGGGTTGAAAGTTACTTAATTTGGAGACATAATGTTGTGGATGAAACACTGAAGATGCTTGATGAGAGTTTTCAGTGGAGAAAAGAATTTGCTGTCAATGGTAAGCTGTTGGAATTAACCTTGACAGGGTAATACCATCTGTATAAATGTTACTGTTAGGCACTTGTCTATATTTGTACACATCCCTAAAAGTCATCATAAACACTAGAATATTATTACCTTTAGGGGCCTAATCACACTTTCAAAGGGACAGTTTATGAAAAAAATCTTAGAAGGAGAATAATTCATAAGAAGATCAGATGATAGGGAACCGATTCACATATTGTCACTAAAAACATGGTTGCCTAATCTGTGTTTGGTTTGATTCCATTAAACAATGGCAAAACAATCTTCCCTATTAGACCTAGAAATAAGAAGATGTTGCTGTCCTGTTTTTTTTTTTCAGTTGTTGCCCACGCCTTTCCATATTCCCAGAGAGGCGTGTGTTTGTGAGTGTTCCATAACTGAATGGGAAGCCCAGCAAAGCAAGCATATCCCCAAGGATTCCTGTGGCAGCCTTTTTAAAACTCTTCTACTAGATTGAAATTTGTAATCAAAACGGGTGTTTGAAATCTTAGAGGGAAATTTACATTAGTTTTCAGATGTATGAAGAACTCTGCAGGGGATGTTACCTATTGCCTCCCTCTAAAACATTAACAAGAATAAGTAGACATAACTGCTCATTTCAACTACCTATAAAGCATTGCCTGTCATAGAAGATTATGAACTCTGGAGAGACGGAGTCTAAAAACTTAATGCAAAATAGCCAAGAAGTCTAGAGCTAATTTTCTCCCCATTCTTTATATTAGAATCCACAAGAAAGGGCATACCTAAAATCTAAAAAGAAAAATGATGCAAAATGTAAAAACTGTAGGCAGTTTAAACAAAGAAACATTTGTTAATCAAGAAAAAAAAGCACATATCTGCAATTTCTAAATCATGGACAAAATGAACTTATTCAGAGTAAAGTTTGTTGTGTGTGGCCTTTTTTTCTCCTTTTGTCTTTTTTTTTAGCTCATTTAGAATCTGATACTAAACTCAACAATGCGTGTATTCTTGTACAGGTGGCTAGTTTCTGGTGGCACACAGCAAGGATATGAGGTAGGCATAGGGAATGAGAGAGAAACCGTGAAAGTTCTCTGGAAAGTGCTGCCTTGGCACATTGGTCCTCAGCTTCCCTTAGAGACCAGTTAGGTCTGTCATTTGTTTTTCCTGAATTTTATATTGTTTCTTGAGTTATTTTCCACCTGCTCTAAAACATTAGTGTTCTGTATATAAAACTTCATAGAAAAATACCATTTTGGGGGTAGGGATGCAGCACAGTGCGTAAAATTCCTGTTGCACAAGCAAGCATGACTAAGTTTAGCTCTCTAGCACTCACTTCAAAGGCTAGGCATGGCAAAATGCACTTGTAATCTGAGTGCTTGGGGGTGGAGAGTGGGGTGGACACAGGATCCCAGGGGGCTTTGCTGGCCAGCTAGTATATTAGTTTAGCCAAATCAGGTCAGCAAGCTCTAAATTCACTGAGAGAATCTCCCCAAAGTAAGGTGAGAGTGATAGAGGAAGAAAACCCCCCACACACACACCCACACACACACACACACACACACACACACACACACACACACACACAAACTCGGCGTGGGGGAGCTAGAGAGGAAGAGAGGGAACAGAGAGAAAATGGCAACTTGCTAGACAAAACAGTGATGTTTCCCCATCCAATTCTAAGGTTGTGTGAATATTTTATTAATGTAGCTTTTGTTTGTTTAGGGGGAACCTAGGGATAGAATCCATGACCTTGTCTGTGCTAAACATGTACCCTCCTACCACCACAGAACTACATCCAGACCCCTCCAGCATTAGATCAAATGGTCTCTTAGTGTTAACATGTATGATAAATCAAATCGTTATTCGAAACCCAACCAGAATCAGCAAAAGTATCCACAAAAATAAAGGAGTTTTCCCAGTTCTCTTCATCATCTGTAAATATGTTGTCTGTTGTTTTCTCAGCAGGAAATGCTTTCATATTACCAGCCACTCTTTTCTAATTTTTTAAAATAAGTTAGTTATATTTTATTCAAGATTTAAGTAAGTTGAATTTTGTTCAAGTTTGAGTAAGTGATGGCAGAACTATTATGTAACATTACCTTTACAGTGTTTTTTTTTTTTCTAGATCTTAGTGAATCCTCTATTCCAAGATGGTTATTAGAACTTGGTGGTATTTATCTCCACGGTTATGACAAAGAAGGTAACAAACTATGTAAGTATATTCAGTTCATACCCCAGCTCTTCAAGACTTTAAGATGTATGTCTGTGTCTCAATTAATAATCACAGAACTTTTCCATATGTATATGCAACTAATTTCCTACAACTAGAGGTGTGGGGCCATCTTTACCCCTATCAAATAATATCAAGGCATAATTTGCATTATCTTAAACTAAGCAGCAAACACAAACACTGTGTCTTAGTTACTTGTCTATTCCTGTGATGAGACAGTCTTTCCAAGGCAACTTAATAAAAGAGTTTGTTTGGGGCTTATGGTATCAGAGGGTTAGAGTCCATGACGATCACAGTGGGCAGTATGGTAGCAGGCAGGCAAGTAGGCATGACACTGGAGCAGTAGTAACAAAGCCAAAGTCATTTCAGTTCGTCATTATCTTCTTTCTCGATGTTGCTAACACTCCACCTTATATTTATTTTTATGGAAAATCTTTTGACAGTTGCTAAATATGCAAAATAGACTTTTAAGTCTCTCCCCGGTCACCTCTTAGCTTTTTCTGAAATGTGGGTAGTAATGGGAAGAAAAGTAGCAGTCATCTGTTGTTCAGATGACTTTCTTATCCTCCTTTCCACTCGCCCAAATATAGCTTGAGTTGGTACTAAGGGTAGGAGAGCCTGTGTACACCTGGCTTGCCTTTTCTTTAGCTTGTGAATTGCACCGTATTTTGACGGTACGGTGCACTTTCATCTTATCCCCGCCTCTTCTTTTTCAGTCTCCTTTTCTCAGACATCTTCTGTTGTTTGTCCTGAAACATGTTTCCCAAAGCCTGTTCTTTTCTTGGTTTCTTATACTTTGCAGCTGATACTGTCCCATGGGGTCATCTCAGACACATCAGTTTTGGCAACTTCCCAACTCACAGTGCGGATTCCATGCAATTCCCAAGCTCCTTGCCGCATACCCAGCTGCCTGCCAGCTGGTGTCTCTTGACTGTGAGCTGCCTTCCATATAATCTACAACTCACACTCTTGTCCTGTCATTCATGTTCCTTCTGGATTGCTCGGCTCCATTTCTTGACTCTCCCTGTAATTTAGCCTCCTTTTGATCAGTGTTTCATCTTCACGAGCCACTTCCTCAGATCAGTCCTGCCTACCCAGTTTCCTTATTGTCAGCTCCTTCCCAGGTTGTGACCAGATAGGTTTCCCCCCTGGCCTCTTTCACTCCAACCTCTATGGCACCACCCAAGCTAGGTTTTGAAATAGGAAAACCAAAATGAAGCTAGGACCCCAGAGTCATCTAGGGGTCATTCTCCCCTGTCCTGCTTCTCTTCTCACCAACACATTCCAGTCTTAGCTGCCACCACCTGAAGTGTTTGCATGGTCCACTCCCCTTAGTTGCCACCACCGAAGCTTCTGTGCCTTCCACTCCTCTGCATGGCACTCCCCCAGGCCTCCCTACTGTTTGTCTGTGTGTCTCTTTTGGGTGGAATATGTTTTCTAGTGTTTGATCAGACCAGTGGCTTTCCTCTTAAGCATAGTGAAGAACACTTCTGGGTTATTACAAAATGGTATTTGCTCACCTGCATTTTCTCTGCAGCTCACTTAAAAGTGATGTCTATTTATTTTCTAAAGGAGAGAAAACTAGTTTGCCTCTCTTCTTCTCTTTAATTTAAAGGTCCCAAGTGCAACTATTTCTCATTTTAAAGAGGGGAGAGACGTTTTTATTCAAAACAAGATGAATTAGAAATGAAGATACATGCCAAGGGAAAGAATATATATATATATATATATATATATATATATATATATATATTAATATAATGTATATATAATAAAAATGCCACCAATAATATTTTTATTTTTATCTGTTATTCTGCTTAAAGTCTGGATCAGAGTGAAGTATCATATAAAAGACCAGAAAACGATAATGGACAAAAAGAAGCTTATAGCATTCTGGTTGGAACGATATGCCAAGAGAGAAAATGGGAAGCCTATCACAGTGATGTTTGACATGTCAGAAACTGGACTCAATAGCATAGTAAGCATTCTTCATTAATCATAAATCATTTGCTCTGGTTTCCTCTGTTTGTCCTGTATTCTTGCCAACCAAATATTGTTGTAAAATGAAGCTAGCAGAATCCAAAAGGATTATTTTTCCCCTTGTGTGAAGTCAAATGTAGAATAGGGTTTACAAAGAATTAAATTTGCTTCAGTATTTGGTACAGATGCTATATATCCTAGCAACGTTCTATGTTTGGTGTAAAAGATGGAGAGGTAAGACATGGAGGCTGGCGGGGCATGAGTCATTGTGATGAACATGAATGTTTTTACCATGCTAATATACCCCAGCACCATCTCCCATGCCCTGCACAGAGTAACACAGTCACTGAATATTGAATAAACACATGCACGATCTCTGTAATCTTATATTTTTGCCTTGTTTTGAGGGTACAAGATGCTCATGTGAGTTTGCCACATGCCATGCTCTGTGCTATTGTTGGGTACTTGTGTATACTTCTTGAATGTTTTTGTTTATTTTATTTAGTAAGCTTGGGGAACCAGTTTTCTTCACATGATATTACCAGCCTAAAAACTTTGTTAAATCACTAGCTACCAATATCAACACATTATTCTGTGTGCAACAATAGCCACAGCTACTTATGAAGGTGGGATATAAAGGTCATTTAAACCTAGGAGTTCAAGGATAGCTTGGACAGCATAGTGAGACTGCCTCAAAGAATACGGAGAGATTACGAAAAATTCTAGATGTCCAACATGGCAAAATGGTACATTACGTTATACCTAATTGATAGAGTATATGTAACTACTTATGTTGGTATTTGTGGAAAACTTGTAATAAAATTGGTGAGTACCTGTTTAAGATAAAAAAGAGCTGTTTTACTACAGTATGTGGCTGTGTAGCCCAAAATAATGATGTCTTAGATTTAAACAACAACAAAACCAGGTTAGAGAGAACAATTAAAAAGAGCTTTAGGAGCCAGGCATTGGTGGTGCACACCTTTAATCCCAGCACTTGGGAGGCAGAGGCAGTCAGATCTCTGTGAGTTGGAGACCAGCCTGGTCTACAAGAGCTAGTTACAGGACAGCCTCCAAAGCCACAGAGAAACACTGCCTCAAAACAAACAAACAAACAAAAAAAGAGCTTTAGGAGGGAGATGGCATAATGTTTTTTTTTCTCACATTAAGAATCCAATAACCTGCATTTTTAAAAAAATGTAGTTTCCATTGAATGGATTGTAAATTACAAAATAAAATATTTTATATTCTAAATGAAGCTAAAATGACTTAGATAAGTCAACATTCAATAAAGATAGACTATGATTCTTTTGTTCTTTAGGTACCACAGTTACCTATTTATTACCTCGAAACAATGAACAGTGTATTCTGTTACCTTATATGGAGAATTGACAGGAGCTATCTGGTGGTTTTTCAAGCAACTTACCTAATGTCATTTCTAATTTGTAAAGAAAGAGTATTGGTGCTATTACATATTTCAGTCATTATTAAATGTCATATAGCAGCTGAATCTTTATTGGATAATTTCTTTTTTTATAAGACACTTTTATGATTCACAAAGTCAGCTTATAAAGATGCATAAAAATGCTTTAGTATGAGTTGGATTGCCATGTTGATTGTGGCCTTTCACCTTCCTAGATAAAAGAATGGAATCATTTAAAATGATACAAATAGGTAGATTTTAAATTACCAACATTTTAGGAGAAGTGTATCCAATCTCAGCAGTTGAAGTAGAAAGAAAAATCTTGCATGCATCATCAGAGGATGGATACTTTACATGATAAGGCCACCATTCTGAAAAACACCCTGCGAGATTCTACAACAGGCTGTCTTGTGGACCTATGTTATGTAGTACCCAGTGTAGACACACACCACTGACATCAAATCCTCGAAGTTAGCAGTAACGCAAGTGTTTATGAACAAGGACATTCAGCTGAATAAAAGATGGCAATAACCACTAGATGAAGACCAGTAAGAGTATCTGAGAGTGGCCATGACTTTTAAAATAGGTAACCAAAATTTTATACAGCTAGTTTTAAGCCCTTTTTCTGGCTTTTACTCAACTATAGAGTTTTGAAACTATGCCCAGAGATATAATGGTTATTTATAAAGGTATTATATGCATACTAGAACTTCCCCGTATTAAATGGGTATAGCTAGGGATGCTTACTTTCAGTTTACTATAATTAATGGTGTTGCAACTCATATGCAACTCATTCCTAATGACTTTATAGCCTGTCCTATCTAGAATAACCAGCTTTTTCATAGCTGTCCTGGATTTCAGCTTGTCTGCTTAGCTCTTCAGACCAGCAGTATTATAAGGTGGCTGAGCAGGATTAATGAAACAGCCTGCTAGCATGGAATAATATGGGCAATGAAACATGAATAATATCCCTAATGACCTAATTTCCTGTTGTTATATATGAAGCAAGAGAGCTAACCAGACAGCTGCTTAATAAAGTCTCCTAACAACTGGAATGAATGAACAGCATGTGATTATACACTAAAAACAAAAATCCCAAAGCAAAACTAATCTGAATTCTCTTAAATAAAAATTACTTGACAGATCCTATCAGTGGGATCACTGTATAAAAAATGAATACAGTATTTTTATTGAAGCTCTTATAAGGTAAAAATAGAATTAGGAAGTAAATACTAAACCATAACATGTATATGTATGTATAGCTACAAATGAGTGCATATATAGTATTTCAGTTAGTCGGTTATAAGTTGTATATACCCTTTTCAATAATTCTTCAGTTGTTCAATAGAATTTTAGAGTGCCTGTGTGATGATCACTTTTATATACATTGCATACCCCATGGCTCTTGTAGCCTGAAGCATATAACTAGGTTGAATTAATACAGTTAGTTTTAAAAATACCAATAAGTATCTGACTTCTTCACCTCAATTTCAGAGACAATTCTTAGCTTAATGACCTAAAACTTTAGCCCTTGGGGCTATAGGTACTTAGATTAGCTTATCTTTTAAGAAAAATAGTCATCTCATTTATATTTACTAAGTTATCACTTTTTGAAATGTATAATTTGAAGTTCTCTAATTTTGACAGTCTTAAAAGCTTTAATCTTTATTTTAGGACATGGACTTTGTACGCTTTATCATCAACTGCTTTAAGGTGTATTACCCCAAATACCTCTGTAAGTAACTTACTACTTTGTAAAATTCTAATATATTGAAATTATAGATGATTCCAAATATTATAAAGTTTTATATTGTAGAGTCTCATGCCTGAAACATTGTTTTCTGATGAAGCACACTAAATGTATTCCTAGGTAGACATGTAAATTCTTATCATAGTAGATGCATAGACAATTTTTTGAAGTAGTTTTCCTTTACAGTTGATGGTGCAAGTGAAGTTCTCAATGCCAAAGCATCCCATAACATCTAACACACAGCTGTGTGCAATTATATATTTATTTGCAACATGAGCCCATTTGTACTGATCTTTGTCTAAAATTATATTTAGTATATGGAACTTGCTGCATGCAAGAACAGATAAGTGGTACTGGCAAGGTACATTGTATGATAAATAAACACAGTATGTTACTAATTGCTGTTTTAAAATTGGTGCTAAGAAAATACTGAATCATAATGTACTATATTTGACTCTGGTACTTAGAGAGATTCATACTATTTTGTTTTATTATGATGCTGGAGATTGAACCCAGGTCCTTGTACATGCCAGGCAAATGTTCTACTACTGAACTAACATACTCAGCCTTGTTTTGTTTGCTTTCAATGGTAATTCTCCCATTAATGACACAAACGATGGACTCCTCCTAAGCCTTATATGCTCATTTTTCATCTGTTGTATTTATGTAATGGGTTCCCTATCGGAGAAATAAATGGCCAATACATAACAGTCAAATATTTTTAACTCCAGTTTGGTAAAACTGAAAAGGCAGGAGAGGCAAAAGGTTATGAAAATGGAAATTCACAGAACTGCCTGTGCATATTCCTGAGATACCACAATTAGGGTTTCTTGGGTAACAAAAGCATAATGGATGTCTAGAATCAGCACCACCTACAGCCTTATACTGCAATCCCTTTAGAGATTATTTGTGAATGTTTGTAAAGAGAACGACAAGGTCCATGTTGGGAAACTTGACTGATCTACTGTTCCTTGTGTATCTGGCACATACTGACTCATTAAATCTTGCTGAGCAGGGCCCATCAATGGACACTATAGGATTACTACTTTGTGATATTAACATGCTTCTTTAATGATAAAACAAAATTGAAATACTTGTTTACTGAAGGATCTAAAGGATGTTGTGGTGAGCCATGTTGAAATAATACTGATATGTCTTACTTTATAAAATACATCCCCTTCTAAACTACCCGTTGACTAAAATACTTAAAAGCATTTGTGATGAGCCACTGACAAAAAATATAAGTATAGTTATTTATCAAATATTTCAGGATTACTTTGAAAGGACTATTCATGGATTCATGTAAAGGTGGATGATAATATTGTTCATTTCAGTTAACTACAGATGATGTCTGCGTCCTACAAAAATAATGTGGTTTTGCAGACATTGGATTTTATAGGCTTTTAAACTGATTGTTCTTCAAAACCTGCCATGAACTATTATACCTTAATTATACCCCAGGTAAATAACAGGAACACAGATCACCAGGCTACCTCTTATTGATACCATGTTCTTTTTGTGCACTTTACTTTGTGCTAGTTTTGTATAACATTCTATGGGGTTCTCTGCTCAGAGAAGAATAAAATTACATATTTGATTCATCTGGAATAGAAGAAGGAATTGGCTATCACAAATCTCCTTTGTGTCTGATTTTTTCCCCCTCATGGGTGTTGATAGCACTACTTAATGTGCTCAGTTCCGTCTGTCAAGTAACAGTTCTGTGTACTTTGGAACTGTTGGCTTCCTGGAGCTCATAACATGTAAGAAAAAATAGTTTCTGTTTCTTAGAATCAGAATGAAGGGACAGCTCTGTGACTAGTTTAACAATGTAATTTCAAGGAAATTATAAGTGAAGCCATAAATTAGACAGGTAAATATTGTTTTTAAAGTGCAGTTGCTTTCAGCACTGATCTGACATGTCACACCGTGTCCCCTTAACAATTCTCTTATGTACCTTTGTTCAAGCAGCAAAATCAGTAAACGAACAAAGGAATGCTTTGTTTGCCAAAGGACAATGACCCCTCCCCATTGTGAGATGCTGGTCAGTCCCAGCACTACTCATAATTCCATGAATTAAAACTTGGCTAATCAGCTCAATTTTTCCTCATATGGTAGTTTTTTTTTTTCTAGATCATGTCAAACTGGTAGAATATTATAGAAGTACTAAAAGTAGTTAGGTTTTTCTTTTGGATCTTTGCTCTTTATTTACTCCCAAATAAATTACACAGAGACTTATACTTTGTTATGAATGCCCAGCCTTAGTTTGGCTTGTTTCTAGCCAACTTGTCTTAACTTAAATTACCCCAAGTACCTTTGGCCTCTCGGCTTTTTCCTTTTCTTACTTCTGTATATCTTACTTTCACTCTTACTCCCTGGTTGGCTGGGTGGCTGGCCCTGACGTCCTCCTCTTCTTGTTCTATCTAAATCCCTCCCTTCTTCCCCCCCTTTTTTTCCAGATTTCTCTTCTATTTATTCTCTCTGCCTGCCAGCCCCTCTTATCCTTTTCCCCTTTCTTGCTATTGGCCATTCAGCTCTTTATTAGACCATGAGGTGTTTTGGACGGCAAAGAATCACAGCTTCACAGAGTTAAACAAATGCAGCATAAACAAAAGCAACACATCTTTACATTGTTAAACAAATGTAACACACCTTAAAATAATATGCTACAACATACTAAGTTGATTTGAGTGACTTTTTTGTCTTTCAGCAAAAATAGTGATCTTTGATATGCCTTGGATAATGAATGGTAAGTATATTATTTGTGTTTTCCCGAAAGCACTTGGACTTTCATGTGTCTGTCTTTGCTGATTTAGCCATGTTTCTACAGATGTTTAGAAAAATGTTTGTATTATATTTGTGTACTCTTTAAAGGCTAAAACGTTGTTTTTTAAACAAATAGGTCTGACATTCTCTCCTCAGACACTGAGAGTTTTTCCACTAGTCTTTTCTAAAACCAGCCTCAAGATAATCTTTCATTTGGTCAAAACAATTACAAGAAGCCTCGTTCTGTTTCCCACACATAGGTTGTCTGACAAAGCATGCATTGGCAAGGTTTTCTCTTGGGTTTCAAGCGTTGAGGAACAAGGTGGGAGGGGTCTGACGTCACTCTAAATCACTGTAGTCACATAGCCCCTTTTGACATTCATAAATTTGCTCTGAGTATTGTGAAATGGCTATTGAAAATTACCTAGGGATTTTAAAAGGAATGGTGCTTCTTCACATTCTGTTTTCATTGGTGGTTATATAAGTCCATTGTTTCGAACAATAGGATAACTCTATAAACTGAAATTCAGTTCTATGAAAAGTTCTTTATTGGCAAACCCTTTAACACTGGTAAAGAATAAACAAACACTTAGTAAAATGTAAAATCAAAAACAGAGGTCACTACTGATTTTATGGAATTAAAAACAATTATAGCAATGAAATTAGAAAACTAATGAAAAATGATAAATTATTAGAAACACCTGGACTACTGAAACTGATTCAAGAATAATCAGAAGCAGTATCCAACAACCAAAAAAAATCCCACAAAGAAACATTCAGGCCCTGGTGGCTTTTCTGGCAAATTCTATTAAATAGTTAAAGAAGAATTTACCCTGATACTTTATAAACAGTTCTAAAAATAGGTCACAGAGGACTGCTTGTAACTCATTGGTGAGTAAATACAAGCCTGAAACCAAATACCTGATGAAAAAAAAACTACAGACTGCAACCCCTTACAACTATAGATGCACCAATCTTCTGAAGGTAATATGGCTAGGGGTATGGCTCAGTGATTTAGCCCTTGCCTAGGCTGTGTGAAGCCCTGAGTTCCCCCTCTAGCACTACAGAAAGACAAAACCAACAAACTGTAGCCAAAGAAATACAAAAAGCATTATAGGCTACAGAGATGTCTCAGTCAAGTACTTGAAAATTGAATTTAGTCCCCAGCAACCTGTGTAAAGAAGCCAGTCATGGTAGTACCATGTGCCTATAACTGTGGCACTGGGAGTGAAGGGTGGGGGTACCAACAGGCAGAATTCTGGAGCTCACTGGTCAGCCAGTCTGATCTAATGAATGAGCTCAAGCCAGTGAGAGCCTGTCTCAAAAAGACAAGGCAGATAACTCTTGACGAATGACCCCTAAGATTGTCTTCTGACTCCCAGATGAATGCACACACACACACCCCAAAAAGCATTACAAACTATGACAAAGCAGGATTTGTCTTAAGAATGCAAAGTTGGTCCAAGTGGGAAAATCAGTGTAATATACCATATTAATAAATAAGGTGAGAAAAATCGAATACTGTCTCTGATAAAAAAAAAAAAAAAACTTAAAAAGTAGAACCAGAAAGTGTGGTTGAAAAAATATACTTTCAAGGGATCCTAGCAGTCCCTATAAGGCTACCTTCCACAAATTCAAGTTCCCTAAGTGCCTTTCATGTTTGATCACTCACAAGGACTGCTAGAACTTACTGCTCACTTCTGTGATTTATTGCAAGGAAAGAATTCAGAGAGACATTCCAAATGTGAAGCAGATCTCTCTGTTAGCAACAGTGTGAGCAGCATACGCGTAGTATTGCCAAACAAGAAAATTCATTAAAACTTTCGTGCCTTGGTGCTCAGAAATTGTCTTGGAGCTCCATTATGTAGGCATTGATTTTTGCCTGTGGTTAGTTCCTACTGATACTCCATGGCCCATTGCCCCTACCGTAAATCACATGTTGGTTTTCCAAGTCCCACCCTAAATCTGAGATACTGTTCCTACTAATCTAAGGGCCCCAGGCTAAAAAAGGCAATCTTACAAAATAAGAAGGCTACCTCCCAGAAGCTGGGTGCAAAGGCCAGACCTCTCTTATGGTAAGGGTAATTTTTAACTGCCAGAACAGCTTTTTTTGGCATTTATGATAACCCACAGCTAAAATCATTAGTGAATTATTTCAATAAAGCTGGCTTGAAAAAAATCAGACTTAACACTTCATTTAATTCCAATAGCATGACTTCAATCCTGTCAAGTTACAAGCTGTTTTAAATTGAAAGGGAAAATTTAAATACTATTTGAATAAAAGCTTAAATCATAGTGAACCACAATTTAAAAAAAAAAAACATGATTTTCTGAACCACCATTTAATGTTTACATTATTCTTATTTTCCCTTTTTTTCTACTATCACTTTTGCATATTACTGCAGCATTCTGCTTTTAGTTTTTCCAGAAGGGTTAAAAATGTCCCATTAGAAATACCTTTTTAAATTAAGTATTAAACAAGTGGCATAACACAGGACAAAATTGTAAATGCCAAATATCTATGTTTGATATTAGTTTATTCTTGTTGAGTCTTTCTCGTGGTTATATAAAGTGTGAGGCCTGGGAAAAATGCAGTTTTGAGTCAGGAAGGAAGCTGGTCCTGGCTCACAGCCATAATGATCAGGGCCTCTTCCTCCTGTTTCTGCTTTCCCTTTGAGAAGGGATTTCATATTAAGGGTTTATCAGAAGAAACACAAAGTAAAAGATTCTTCACAACATCATGCAATTCCTTCCTGAGTCACAGAGTAGTTTGGTTCATTGTCTAAAAGTCATAGTTGTTGAGGCCACTGATAGATGTGGTCAGAGGTCAAAACCCTGAAAAGCTGCTCAGTGAGCATCAGGGTAATTTAACCTTCCTGAATCTCCATGGAACATTTGAAACCTGTGAGGGACATGCATACCCTAAAGCCTCCTTCCTGGAATTAAAGAATGGTAAGTGCCCTGTCTCAGGAGAAACACATGAATGGCTCGGCTCCTAGTTCAAACTGGTTTCAGAAGACTTGGGTTAACTAGTTCATACAGTAAAATGCATGACAGAACAAGTGAAAGTTCTATGTCTTGATTGTATTTCCTCAGCTGCTTTCAAAATTGTGAAAAGCTGGTTTGGGCCCGAAGCAGTAAGTCTGTTGAAGTTTACAAGTAAAAATGGAATCCAGGAGTGAGTCAGTGTGGAATACCTGCCTCCCCACATGGGTGGGACAGTAAGTACAGTACTTGAAACTTGTAGAATAACACTGGATCATAGTACTCTACACTATGGACTCAAAAGGAAAAAGCCATATCTTTTAAAATGTTTTTATTTATTCTTCTCTCTCTGCTCCTCGGGTTCCCTTCAGAAAAGAGCAGGCCTCACAGGGACATCAACCAAACACAGTGTAAGATACAATAAGACCAGGCACAAACTCTCATCAAAACTCGAGGAGGCAACCCAGTAGAAGGAAAAGGGTCCCAAGGGCAGAAGAAAGAGTCAGAGATACCAGAGATTCCTACTGTTAGGAGTCCTACAAAACACCAAGCTAATAGCAGGCTCCATGCTTGCTGCTTCAGTCTCTGTGAACCCCCATGAGCCCTGTTTAGTTGATTATGTGAGCTGTGTTCTCCTGGTGTCTTCAACCCCTCTGGCTCCTACAATCCTTCCTCCCCCTCTTATACAGGGTTTGAAGCTCCTCCTAGTGTTCGCCTTGGCTGTGGATCCCATCTGCTCCCATCAGCTGCCAGAGGAAGCCTGTCTGATGACAATTGAACTAGGCACTGATCGATGAGTCGAGCAGAATATCATTATGAATCATTTCATGGACTTTTCCATTTGTGTTTTAGTTTGTTCTAGGTCTCTGGGCTATCCAGCCTTCAGTTCCTGGTCATCCAGGCAGTATTGGGCATGGGCCTCAAATTAGACCAGTTATTGGTTGACCATTCCCACAAATTCTATGCTACCATTGCCCCAGTACATCTTGCAGGCAGGGCAGACTGTAGGTTGAAGGCTGGGTTGGTGTTCCAGTCCCATCACTAGAAGCCTTACCTTGTTACAGAGGATGGCAGGTTCACGCTCCATAGCCTCCATTACTAGGAGTCCTTAATAGGGTCACCCTCATAGATTCCAGGGACTTTCCACTGCACTGTGTTTTCATTGGCCCCCAGATGCCCTCCAATTTCAATTTGTCTCTCCCCATACTCTCTCTCTCCATCCCTCCCACCTGATCTCTCCAGTTCCCATCCCCTCCTGCCCACATTCAGCCTGCAAAATCTATTCTATTTCCCCTTCCCAGGGAGATCCATGCTGTATCATAATGCCCAAAGAAGGATCATTGATACCCCCAAAATAGGATACAATGCTGCAGATATTTTTCACTTATGCTTCAAAGTTTACTAATTTTTGAATAGCTTATATATATGATTCTAAATTGAAGTGGATTTAGTGTTCAGAAGTATATTTAAAAACAAGTTTTTATAAATTGTCTTCTACTCTTGTCTCAACCACCCTACTGCCTTCGATGGTTGCATTTCCTAATTTCCAGGGATGAGTTTTACACGTGTAGACAAGTGTACATAAGCCTTCCTCCTTCTCATCTTTTTCATAGGAGCTAGTGTATTCATACAGTATTATAATCTCAGTTTTTCCTTCACAACACAGCATAGAGGTCATTCCAAATCAGTGTGTGACAAGCTTCCACCTATGTATGCTATGGTGTTCCCATATCTAACATGAACCATAAGTTACTGAATTTGATTTTGATGTAGTCTTTTTAATTTGTAATTTATCCTTAAAAGGGTGCTGCCACAGTTTGAAAGGGGTTTTGCTATTGATTGATTTATTTTCCTTTATTTTGAGTGCTAAGGATCAAACCAGGGGCCAGATTCATGCTAGGCAAATGCTCTTGCCCAGCCCTCAGAATCTTCTAAACTGATTTTTATTACTTACTAACAGAGGTCAGAAATAGGTGGGTGTGTTTGAAATGTTTAATGTCATGGCCAGATGTGGTAGTGCACACCTATAATCTCAACATGCAAGAAATGAAAATAGGAGGATTGCAAGTTCTGGGCCAGCCTGGACTACATGGTGATTCTCCATCTCAAATAATTTTTTTAGTATTTACATAGCTGTGAAAATGAATATGGAAGTGACTTTTCCTAAAGTATGAAACCTATGTAAATAATTGTAGGTATATTTTGCCTTTCCAACCAAATTGTATTTAAAGAGAACTAAGGGCTAGCAGGATTAAATTTTCAGTGTCCTTCAGTTTGTTTTCATTAATCAGAAGAGATTTGAACCAAAAAATTTAATTTGAAGTCTGTACCTTTCTTATTCTGAAACGTTATAGTTTGTATTTTAACCTAAAAAAATTGAATGTCGTGCATTTCAGATACTAAACTTATAATTAAAGTAAAACCATCGTTGCAGTTTTCTCCTGCTTTGTTTATGTTTTGTTTTTAGGCAGGGTCTCTTGTAGACTGTAAAGTACTCAGATTGTAGCCATACAACTATCATATATAACTAGCATGCTCACTTCGTCATGTGTTTTGTTCACGTTTTTGTTTTTTTAAGGTATTCTCTCTCTCTCTCTCTCTCTCTCTCTCTCTCTCTCTCTCTCTGTGTGTGTGTGTGTGTGTGTGTGTGTACATGTATGTGCAGGTACCCATGGAGGCCAAAAGGAACTAAAAAATACCTCAGAGCTGCAGTCCCAAGTGCAGTTCTCTGTGCTCTGCCTCATGTGGGTGCTGGGATCTGAACTCTGGTCTCTGTTAGAGAAGGAAGCACTCATCAGCACTGAAGCACCTCTCCAGCCCTTGTGCTTGCCTCTATGTGGTATATAAGTATGTGTGCATGGTGTGCACACCTGCACATGTGGAGGCCAGGAGTCAACATTAGATGTCTTCTTCTATTGCTGTCCACCTTATTTTTTGAGACAGGTTCTCTCAGTGCACCTGGAACTTACTGATTAGCTAGACTGGCTGGCTGTTGAACCCTTAGGGTCCTCCTGTCTGTGCCTCCCAGTACTGGAATTACAGGCAAGTATTACCACATGTGGTTTTCACATGGAATCTAAATTCAAGACTTTGTGCTTGCTCAGCTCAGCAATCCCTTTACCCATTGAACCATCTTTAGCCCTTTTTTTGGTTTTGTGGGGTTTTTTTAGTTATTTGAATGAGGTTTGTTTTATTTGTAGTGCTAGGCATTGAAGCCAAGTCAATGGCTTCAACATCAAGGGAAATACTCTATTGAGCCACACTGAGAACCGTTTGTCAATATTATTGCATCATGTTCCTGTTGTGTGTGGAACAGTTTGAGTCTGCCCTACTCAATTTTTGTTGATTTGTTTTAATTCCTCTTCTGTTTTAATATATACTTTTATGTGTTAAAAATCACAGAAAAATACACACACTACATTTAATGCTTTTAGCCATCTGAGCTTCTTTTTGTTGGGGTGTAAGCTGAAGATATAACTTGATTCCTTTCTTACATATCTTCTAATTATCTCTATTTACTGTTCTTTCCCTTTCTAGTTTGAAATGAACACCATTTTTCCTTATTTCACTAACAAATTAAGCATATTTTCTTGGCTAAAGTAATCAGTTTTTAATATACCATGACAGAATTATTTCTCTCCACATTACTAGCAGACTGTTAAGGAAAATCCTCTCCTTTAGGATCCTTTCAAGTATAGCTACCCACCACTGGTAGACGATGACTTCCAGACACCACTGTGTGAAAATGGGCCGATTGCCAGTGAGGATGAAACCTCCAGTAAAGAGGATATAGAAGGTGATGGGAAGGAATCCTTGGAAACAATTTCTAATGAAGAACAACCAGTTCTGTCAGAAAAGGTAATTTGGGGAATAAAGTCCAACAGAATCAAAAGCTGTCATCTCAAGCTTGGGACATAGCTCAGTGGTAGAGCACTTGTCCTGCATGCATGATGACCTAGGTTCAGTCCCCAGCATGAGAGGGAGAGGAGCTGTCATGTCTCCCCAGCTCTGCCTGTGTTCTTGAGATAATCCAGTTACCTTGCTTCCATGTCTTTCCTGAAGAAATGAAGGAGGAGAGATGAGATGAACTGAATTGCAACATACTGTTCTTTTCCGTATATAAAGAGCCGAGTCTATGCTCTGTGCAAAACTTGGCAAAGTACTTCTGCAAGGAATGATTTTGTCAAAAATATATTTATCTAAGATAAAAATAAAAGTGATTAATATAAAACTTCAGCTGGATGAAGTTCCTCTTGATCTCGTTTTGAAGGACTTGTTAATTGTCACTCTTTACAAAACTTAGCAAGGGCTTACTTGATAAGTAGATTGTAATTTAGAACAAATATCTTCAATAATGTCATGTTTATAAGAGAATCATAAAATATTTTCTCATGGCCATGTCCACATATGTTAAACATGTCATCCAGGCATGCTAAACATGTTAAAAAAGAACTGTAGTTTGTATTGGGTCTAGATGTTTATTTCTTCTCCCAATGACCTGTCCAACTAGAACTAAAATGTTTTCATCTTTTCTCCCTTGTTTCTGTTTTTGTCTTTTAATTTATAGACTAACCCAACTGAGTCTGCTTCCAAAACAGATGAAACAGAAAAAGTTGATTCAAAGATGAAAACTTTTAAAAAGCCATTGAGTGTTTTTAAAGGGCCCTTGTTACACATCAGGTAACAGATTTTATTCACTACATTGCTGTAACATACCTTCATCATCTTGCAGAACTGCAAGATTCACAAAACTTCTCTCCTGCTATTTAAACTCTTAAGAGTAGAGAGTACAATTTGTTGAGAGTACAGTTTGCCTTCTTTTCCAGACTTAGTGACCATTTCTAACGACCTTTTTTCTATTATTTCTTCCACTGAATGTGTGTCAAAGCCCTGATCACACTTCAGATAGTAATATTCAATATTCATTTATTAATAAATCTTAATGATGCATTTGTTTGTATTACTGATACACTTGTAAAAATGAGAGGATGTATTTGTTGGTTTAACCTTCTGAAAGCCCATTGTGTTATAGGAAAATAGGGTTTTGACAAAACCCCAATTTCAGACATGTTTATCTCTGTTCCAGATTATTAATCCAAAAGACTTGGGAATAGGATCTGGGGGTACAACTCAAGGGTAGAATTGTGTAAAGCCCTGAGTTTTATACCTAGCACTGAAATAAAAAGCCCTCGACTATTTCCTGTATTGTTATGTTCAATTTTGCTATACCATCATGAGTTAGTGATGACTGATGTGGCATTTTTGTCCCTTTCCTTAAAACCTTCATGTGTAACTATATTTGGAGTATACTGGAGTACATCATCTATTAACAATACAGCTAGACTTCTAATAAATGTAATCTGAAATTCTCTAATTGACAAAACTGGTTTGTTTCCATGTGTGTTGATTCTTGTTGGAGTTGGATTTGCATTTATTGCCATTGTCTGTGTACTTATGTGAATAAGGGAGGAACACACAAATTTTGTCTCCCATGGTTTGTCTTTGCCATTTTCCACCTTTGGAGTTTGTATGTTTGCACTTTTTCTTCTACTAGTTTGGAAGTCAACATTTCATGCTTCACAGAAGGATCATCCAAAGCATAGATCCTGACCTGGACTTCTTGAGGCTAAACAGTGAGAGCAGCTAGAAAGGCAGGCTAGACTAGGACAGTTTCCAGGGCTGCACTTTTAACATGATCTCACTATCTGTGCCCCCATCAGAGTCACAGAGGTGCTTCACATGCACAAGGACCCCACCAATGGTGTCTCCCCAAGCTGCTCCTGATTTTGATACTGTTTACTAAGGCATACTCTGAGATCTATAACATTGCTGTTTTTTTCATGTCTCCTGTTCCTCAGGCTCCAAAAGGAAACAAGCAATCATATATGTTTACCATCTTGCCCAAAGGTGGGCAACTTCATCCCTAAATACATTTCTTCTCTAGATCAATGAGTATGTGAAGACATCTCTTGTGTAAGCTTTTCTCCATCTGGGCTTACCAGTGCAAGCCCTCAATTCCAGCAGTTTTAAAAAGCAAGAGCACCAGGGGAGGCTAGTCTGGGCTACCTAAAGAGTCTCAAAACCTTACAATACATGCATACATAAGTTATGTGGAAAAAAAACACTTAAGCTATTCACTTTTCAACTTCAAACAAAAACACTACCCCAAATATCCGTCCTGTTGTTTTGAGGCACCTGGCTAGTGTTGTTAAAAAAAACTACACAGTTTTTCTGGAGAATTGAATTTTTTTTCATTTTAGAGTATAGATATTACAGTAGCCAATAATAGCAAACATTTTACTAGTTTTACTAGTTTAACTGCCTTCCCATTGCTATCCAAATTTCTTTCCATGTCCGGTACTTCTCCTCTACTACTCAGAAAAGCCATTGTGTGGTCCGAAGTTATTCTACTACTTAAATATATTCCCTAAGGATCTTTCTGGGAAATTATGTTCTTCTGTTGGTGTAAGAAGGATGCTCGAGTCTAATGTGCTTGTAATTAGGGAAAGCTGGCACATAATGCAAAACCTCCCAAAGAGCTTACACAGATCCACCATAGATGGTGTTGGTTGCAGGGTTAATTCAGCATCTTCATAATTCTCTCTTCTGTTCCTTCCTGTTTTCCTTCTGACCTTAGGGAAAGCCATAGGGCTTCCTAGCATGTGGAGCATTGGGAAGTTAAAGTACACAATTGTATTAGGTAACTGTTTTGTGGTCATCATTTATAAGGACGTCTCTTCATACAAAAAGGTTTTGAGTATTAACTATCTGACTACTGATTATAATGCTATTTAGTCGGAGTACTACAAACGTCTTATCTGTTTATCCACCTAGCCCAGCTGAAGAATTATATTTTGGAAGCATGGAGTCTGGAGAGAAGAAAACTCTAATAGTGTTGACAAACGTCACGAAAAATATAGTGGCCTTTAAGGTAAAAACCAAAACACAACAAAAACTTAAGCCATAATAAGTTATGAAAGTGAGATAATGGCAAGTGATTTGGGGCATATACTGATGGAAAGAGCAGTAGTCAAGCAATGAGCAACTGTGTGTAAAATAATCAGTGAGTGCCGTTTTTATTTCTAGTACTTTGAGCCATATTGTATTACCTTGTAGTGGGGCTGATAGTGAGCATAGTCTTCTACATTTCGTATGGGTGGACACATTAGGATCCAACAGAAACTACCCTCCAGGTTATACTAAATGTGAGGGCAAAGTCCCTCAATTTGTTTTATGCTTCCGTGTTGTAAATTAGATGTTTCATCTAATGAAGTCTCTCCTCTGGCCCAAACATACATGTGCACGTATATGCTCACATACACACAACCAGAGGAAAGCTAGGGCCAGGTGTGGTGGCTCACACCTTTAATTAGAGCTCAGAAGAGGCAGAGGCTGGTTTGAGGCCAGCCTAATCTACATAACCAGCTGAAGCCAGCGATGGTTACAGAGTAACACACTGTCTCAAAGAAGGAAGGGGAGGAGGAGAAGGAGCAAGGCCAGGTGTCAGTAGGACATAAAAGTAGGTTTTTAAATAGCTCAGGATGTTTTTATCTTATTGGTGAAGACAAACAACATTCTGCACATAACAACCAAGGTGGTTGCATAGACTTCATACATTGGTGTTAGCTGCTCTTTTTTTAAAAAGTCATTCTTAAGCCATGCTTCCAAAAGAGTGTGAGGTTATGGGCTAACTGTTTGTAAACAGGTGAGAACTACTGCTCCAGAGAAGTACAGAGTTAAGCCGAGCAACAGCAGCTGTGACCCTGGAGCTTCAGTTGATATAATTGTTTCTCCACATGGAGGTGAGTCATCTCTCCTTATCTTTTTCTTAATGTATGCTTATGCCTCATAAGTTCAGAAGTTGTTGACCAATATATAATGGACTCCAAAGGATTTTTTTGTATACTTTTATTGGGTTACATTTTGGTGAGGGTCTTTGTCTTTTGGGGAGGGGCAGTGTTTTATTTTGTTTTCCTGGGCTAGGGCTAATTTTTGTATTGGGGTTTCCTTTGTTTTTTGAGAAAGAACTTACAGTTGGGTGCGTATGGAGGTAGAATCTAAAGGACTTAAGGGAGGGGACAGGGACATATATAATCAAAATATACTTAAATTTAAAAATTGTTTTAAATAACACAAATATTTTAAATAGTAATAATAATGCCTTAAGCCATGTAACTGGCCCAGGAAAGTTGGTGTTCATATGTCACATTCCTTTTTTGGAGTGCAGGCTTAAAAGTCTCTGCCCAAGACCGGTTTCTGATAATGGCTGCAGAAATGGAACAGCCATCTGGCACTGGGCCAACAGAATTGACCCAGTTCTGGAAAGAAGTTCCAAGAAGCAAAGTGATGGAACACAGGTAAGTGCCTTTATTCACAACAGCCTCTCAAATGTGATGGAAGACTCAAAGTGAGAAATTCCTGGGGCGGAGCATTGTTCTTTCCTTATAACTGCCATAGTTCAGCTACTCAGAGAATTCAGTTACTCTGTTCCCATGTGAAAAAAGACAGTAGATAACAATTAGAAAACTGTTCACAGCAACAAGATGCAGTATCCTATTTAAAAGGGAGTGCACAGTTGTATACTTGTGTGGGCCTCTGTATGTCATCTGTGCCAAATGTCTTTAAATATATATAGAAAGTAAAGGAAACAAGAGAAGACTGCTTTCTACTTTTTCTATACTCCTTTTAAAATGGAATTACAATTTATTGAAGTGACATCAGTTTTGCCCCTCACCCACCCAAGGACATTTGCCAACATCTAGAGACATCTTTATTTTTCAGAACTCAGGGATGGGTACAGTGGACATCTAGCAAATATTCCTAAGCCTCCTACAATGCATTTGATGAACACTACTCCCCCCAAATCACAACCCCCCCAAAACCAGTAGCACTGACATAGGAAACCCTGGTTTATAGAGTAAGGATGGTCTCTCTGCTGGCGTGCTGACTGGGACATGAAGGAAGTGAAAGAGGAAGTCACATTGTGACTGATTGTATCTGTACAAAGTGCTTTGTGGTGACCGACAAAGCAAGTTTCAAGAGAAAGAAATGTGCTTGGCTTACATGAAAACCAGCAAGGAGGCTTATTTTCCTTAATTGGGGGGAGGATGTGGCCAAGAGACAGCTAGCAGAGCACTAGATCATTGCTTATGAGGACTGTTGAATTTGACCCAGCCTAGGGGAGTATTCTGTAGTCAAAGGACAGCTCTTGCCAGGTCATTACAGCCCAGGGAAGAAAGTGTGTCACAGAGAAGTAAGCAGTAGTGTACCAAGTACTGGCATGCAGATAAAGATGAGATATGGGCACTGCCCACTGATGGTCACATTACTGAAGGTACTGATGACCTTAAAGAGGGCCTTTAGGATGCAGGAACCACATAAGCCAGAGCTCATTGCTGAAGAGACGATGGGGACAACTGGACTAAACTAGAAGTGGGGCAGATTACAGAGACACTATGAAGGCGTCTTTGATTTCTTTTTGTTGTAGATTTTTGTTTTTGTTTGGGGTGGTGGTTTGTTTCTGTCTTGGTATTGGAGGAGATTATTGGCTTGGGGAGTGGTTTGTTCTTTGAGACAGGGTGTCATTATATAGCCAAGCATTAGCCTCAAACTTGTAATAATTCTTCTGGCTCAGCCTTTTAAGTACTGGCATTACAAGTGCCCAGCCCATCTTGGGGCTTTTAACATGAGAAATTTGAGCACTGTGTGAAGAAACAGGCTGGAAAGATAGCTCAGTACTACAGTGCTTGCCTCATGTGTGGAAGGTCCTAGGTTCCATCCCCCAGACAGCCAAACAAACAGGAAAATGAGGGACATGGCAATAGAGATCTATAATCCCAACACACAGTACTTGCAGGTTGTAGCAGGAAGATCAAAGTTTGAGGCTAACATATACTACATAGGGAAAACCATGTTGCAAAGAAGAAGAAAAAAAGCTAACAAAAAACATTGGAGAAGTTAATGTAGGTCCAACCGGAGTAGAGGTTCCACCTGTTTTTCACAAAATAATAACATACTTACATTTTCAAATTATACCGTAGGAACAAAAACTGCATTCTGCCAAGCTTTATTTTGGTTGAGTTTGCTTTGCACTGTTCATGAAACAGGGCTTTGCTATGTACTCCAGGGGTGACCAGGGACTCCAGATCTTTTTGTTTTTTTATTAAAAGCATGGGAGATTTTTGAAAGGTTAAGAATGAATGACACAAAAGGAATTGGAGATTAATTCAAAGTGCTTATGAAACACTCAAAATGAGGGGATTTGTTAAATATAAGTTGCTTTCCTTCCTTTGCTTTGGGTTTTACCAGTTCCTAATGGCTGCCTGCCCCAGAGCTCTCAAGAGAGAACCACAGCTCCCACCTAGAAGGTGGGAGGGATCCTGGTGATTCGGTACTAAAAGCTAAAGTAAAGCACCATCCTCCTTTCTAGAAATTGGAAGATAATCTGGGTAAATTCTACTGAATAACACATAAAAAAGCTTTCTATTGAGTCCCCTGGGGCAGTGGGCAGTATACACAGTCTCTTGTTCTTTATACACATTAGGTAGCTAAAAGGGGACTGAGGGTTAAGCTCAGTGGTTTATAAGCAAGCACAAAGCCCCAGCTTTAATTTTCACTGGAGAATAAAAGACCCTGGAAGATAATAGATATAGAATGAGCTGCTTTCTGAACTGTGCCTAAGGAGACAAATGAAACCTTTTGCCTCCAGTACACAACAACTTGCATTTACCTCTGCCTTCCCTATTTTACTTTCAGAAAAAAAATACTTACTAAAGCTTTGAAGAAGTTATGTTTCCTTTGAATTTCATAGGTTAAGGTGCCATACTGTTGAGAGCAGCAAACCAAACACCCTCATGTTGAAAGACAGTGCTGCGAACATGTCAGATAAAACCAGTGAAGATCTCTATCTGCAAGTAAGTGTGCCTTCCTCCTGACTAAATGACCGCCAGTGGTAATCAGCACCACAAGGCAGTCTGTGTTCCACTAACATAAGGGAACCTTTTAGCAGACACAACGAAAGTTGCGTTTTTGCTCTCTATCCCTCTCTTCCTCTTTTTGGTTTTGGTTTTGTTTCTTAGTGGGGGAGGTTAGGGTTTGTTTGTTGTTTGTTGGGGTTTCTGTTTTTTTGCTTTTGGAGACAAAGATTCATCTTGAAAGCAGGCTGGCCTGGAACTCCTTATAGTCCTCCTGCCTCAGCCTTCCAAGTGCTAGAGTTACAGGTGTGAGTTAGCAAGCCTGACTTGGAAGTGTCCTCTTCTCTGTGAAGAGGCCAGTCAGAAATGGTAAGTGGCAGGTTACTTTCAGAAGGCCACAAGCATTTAAAGACTGTGGCAATTTTACTATGAAAATGGGGTCAAATGGTAAAGCACGGGTGCCTTGTTGCATACAAAAGACTTCCCTCTTACATAAAAAGAGCACCAACTAGTGCCTTTCCATTGGAAAGAAACAAAGAGGCCCCATGCATATACCTCAGTGGTGTAGTTTTTACTTACCATGGCAGTGTGTTAGGTGTGATGCCCAAAAGGAAAGAAACTAAAGAGATATAAATAGCCCCAAAGTGACTGGACCTCCAGGAAGTGATTACTCTGTTCCTGTTTCAACTAGAAAATTGGGCCTTTCACAGAAAAGCATGAAGGGCATACATGTCCAGCAAACTTTACATTGGATGCCTCCTTGAATTTCTAGCCCCTGCCCTTTCAAAGTAGATGGTCCCCATCCCTTTAGTGTTTGGAGTTCTGATATTCCAGTTTGGCATTCCCGTGAATAATGATTGTTTCATTGATATCAATCTTTCATCCTTTTTTTCTTCCCGTTCAGCTCAATCGTTTACTAGAAAGCAATAGGAAACTTGAAGACCAACTCCAGCGCTCTATCTGGTTCCAACAGCTGCTGCTTGCCTTAACAATGGTCTTGCTTGCTTTTGTTGTTTCTTTCTTTTATTCATTATACAGTTAAAGAAATGGTGCCTGCTCAGAAACATAACTCCTTCAAATATTATCTGAAGAAAGTATACAGACCCCACCCACCTTCTAGATCTACTGTAAACCTGGGCTTCCTAAAAGGAAATGCGCAGCACATAGAAGGGCACCTAGCTTGAAAACAAATTGTTCGGATAGAGGAATGTTCAAGGCATTGATTATTAGAGACTATAGCTTGTTAGAAAACTAAGTAAAGGCTTATGTACTGTGTAAATTAATAGCTTAAATATAATTTATTTTTCTTTTTGATTTGAATGCTTTCAAAGCAAAGCTTTATCATGTAAATATACAAGCTGACCTGAAAAGTCGAAGTAATATGTGCTTTGTTGTAGCCAAAAGATATAATCTGCTCTTTTAAAAAATATAGAATCGCTAGCTGAGCTGACTTATTAGCTTTTCTATACTATGTATGTAAAATATGTATATTGAAAAGGAAACATACTTAAACAGAGTAATTTATGTAATCATGACTTTGTAACTTTGAGAACTACTTCCAGATGATAGTCAATATTCTTTTGGGAATGTAGAGCTATTTAATGCCAAACCACCTTAGCCTTTGTTTCTCAGCATTGCTGAGCAGCCTGACTCTTATTAATCTGGGCTCTTTAGTGAATACTTTGGTTTTGAACCGATATGGAAAGCTACATGTGGTTGAATTTTTGTTGATTTCTGGTTTCAGTGCCCAGAAGGAATGTCTCCAAAACAGCCCCCTTTCTAGTCTATTCTATGCAGTTTCATGGCATTCACTACGTTTGAACACTGAATCTTTTTGACTAGTTTATTACAAGGGCCTACTCTTCCATTGTTACATCTTCACCTTCATTCCAGGGGTAAGGAGTCTGTTCTGTGGACCACAAATTATGCTATGTTCATCCTCATTTTTAAGTGAAAGGCATTAGGTAGCATTGAAAGTGTAGTTGTTTTAGCTTATTAGTATAACTAACCTTGGGTTCAAAATGGTCCTTGTTAAAATTGTTGGTGAGAAGAAAACTTTGAAAAGACGCGAGTATCCATTTGTGCAAATATAAAAGCAAAACAAAGAGGCTTAGAGAATGGAACTACCACTCCCAATGGGCTCTCTGAACCCCTTGATACTCTGCCTTTGTCACATTCATATGGCTCCTAAATTCCTACAGAGATACACCTTGCAGAAGCAGAAGCTAATGACATTAATTTGTGTTATCATTAATGTGACCAGTTTCAGTTGCTTTAGGTTCAAATGTATATCTACTTTTGATGCAAGAAAAGTGGTCTGCCTAGCAAATAAATTTTTAGCCATGTTTGGAAATTTATTATTCTCAGGAGTAGAGTTTCGGGCTCTCAGCTTGAAGAAGTTGATTCCAAAACGGAGTTTTGAGGAATGATGTAACAGAGCTCCTGAAAAAGTCGGCTAGGGAAATAAAACCTTAAAAGGACACTAGTGTGATACTTTGTCTTAATTTGGGTTTTTGTGTTTCAGTTTGCCACCTCCAGATGTGAAACAGACTGCAGTCCACACTAAGTGCTGTGCACAGTATCTATGTCCCTGTATGTTCACAGGGACCTCCCAAGTGGTAGATTTGGGGCCTTAATATAATCTCATCCCGAAGTATGTGTCTGTGCTTTTCATTCCTCATCAGATAATGAGGAATCAATTAGCCAAGATGAGGAATTTAATTGTCCTAACAGTGTCCCTTTAATGTTTCATAAGAAAATCATGTTGACACACTAAATACCCTTCCTTGCTTAATGTCTGCTCAGTTGAATTTAGTAAAATAACTTGCTAGCATTCATTGTAAAGTAAAATACAGGAATGTAACATACATACATTGTTACATCACTCCTCAAAACCATGTGGTGAATGTGACTACAAAAAACTTCAGAAAATTAACTATAATGTCAAAGGCATCTAGTCTTTTCTACTAATCTTTATTAATCTATATATTTACATTTCATTTTGTTCTGTCTTCATTTAATTTAATCATGTTTGCATGATTATTTTTGTTCTGATCAATATTTTATCTTTAATCATGTCTCTGTCTTTTCATGATCAAATCACCAGGGATTTTCATTTTGATTTTTGTTTTCAATTGGGAATGTAAATTAATACATTTTCCATGAAAACATTAATAAAAGATCATTAGCTTGATCTGCAAGTAGCCTAAAATGCAATTCCTGGTAAACCTAGTCTCAAATTTCATAAAACCATAACTTTTTATATCTTGCCACTAATTTTGACTGGATTTAATAGCACTTTATTGTATAATTATAAAAAATATATTACTAGAATTGTTGCCAGTGTAATTTCTCTAATGTTCTGGTGCTTTTCATATATTTTCAGTATTTTTATTACTATATTGGTATTTTCTTTGTATAAATTGATAAAAAGAACATGTTTTCTATTTTAATATGTTTTAGAAAATAATTACATTTATGAAATAAATATCATCAGGAAAAAACTCTTGTCTCTAATTGATAAATCATTGTTTTAAAAAAATCAGTATTCCCTCCAAAACAATACAGAGAAACCCTGTCTCGAAAAAAAAATCGATTTTCAGACCATCTCTGCCCTTTTAAAGATCATCATAATTCGTTTGGATCACCTTTGCATTTTTATAAGGACACTACTTCAGGCTTCCAAAGATGAATCCCATGTCAAGAGACCCTATCCTCGAGTGTGTCCAGTTTCTCGTCCTTGCCCCTGTGTCTAGTTGAGGCTGCACACCAATATAGTTTTTGACATTAAACTCGCTGCTTTGGCTTGAGGCTCTTACTGAAGCCCTCTCTGGAACCACATAAGTCTGGATTGCCCCATGTACCCTCTCCTTGAATCCTTGTCTCCACATACGTTTGTACCTGATGGCTGATTGGGTGATGGAAGAGCACAAGGACAGCCCAAGCTGGTGACAGAAGAGACCTTTGAAACTGGTAACTTTTGTCCCCTCACTATTAGAACACATAACTTTCCAAAAAAGCTGCCCCCCATAAATATCAAATTAATAACTGGTCCTCCTACATTGAAAAGCAGAGATACAAGATCAGGTAGGAAAAGGGCCCAATACATGTGATAAAAGAAAAAGAGACTGATAATAACAGAACATTAACCTGCAGAGTAAAGGACCAACCTGGGATTTTCTAGGCAGCAAGTTTCTTGGGCAAAATCTCCACTTAGGGAAGGGTTGATTACAGAAAGCTGCTCTTTCCCTCTGCAATTTTTACCACCCACTGGAAGGTTCACATCACTGGTACCATGGGCTCTCCCAAACACTCAGGGCTTTTCCTCCCTCCAGAGCCCAAAGGAACTGGCTGGAATTTTTCCTACTTGTTCCATCTGAGACAGTGGTTAGGCAGACTGCCTGTGTCCTAGTCACCTCCCTGCATGTCCTATCTGGGGAAAGGCAGCCCATGTGTATCTTTTCCCTATTGGGTGATTATATCTTACACATGATAGGTGTGAGAGTGAGGAAATATTTAAACTGTCTAGGGAGCCTGGCCTCCCTGTACCTTCCTCCAGCTATTCACAGAGCAGTATTTTGAATATTGTACCTCACTGAGGGCCAAATGTCAGTTCTTCAAACAGGTGATAAAAAGCTAAACAACTGGTTTCTTGGGGCTGGAGAGATGGCTCAGTGGGTAAGAACAGAGTTTGGATCTTAGCACCCATGTTAAAAAGCAAGGTGTGGTCATACCTGTAACAGCAGAGCTGGAAGAGACACAGAGATGGGAAGATTGCTGGGGCTTGCTGGCCATCAGCCTAGCTCCACATTCACTGAGTTAACCCTATTTCAAAGGAACAAGGTGGAGAGTAATAGAGCAGGACACCCAACACCTGGTCCTTCTTTGTTCACCCATACCACACAAATTACAGACAGACTATTCTGGGGTTCTTCAGTTCTTATCTTCTTGAATTTAGTCAAGAGCCATAGACAATTTAAGCAGATACTTAGCAAAGCTCAGCAAAACAAACACTCCTAAGATTGGATCGGTCTGCCCCAGGGCAGGGAGCTGTCCAGTGGGTTCCAGAGAGTGAATTATAAAGGAGTTCATAGGACTATTTTTAAGTGGGTGGCGTACTCATGGAGTAAGGGGAGTCCTTTTTCCCTCCTGTTATGATGGACTGAAGTTCCTTTTGGGGGTAATTCTTCTCATGATATTCTAGAAAAATCCACACAAAAAATGGGGGAGGTGTCAAAAAAGTGATATGTTAATGATGTCAGATTTTTTTTTGAGGCTTCAGTCCCTTCATTAGTGTACACGTGTGGGAGAGTGCCCAGGTGCTTTAGTTTTATTTGTTGGTGGCAGAGGGCCTTACTGTCAGCTCCTAGAAGCTACTCTAGGGTCTTTGTTCTGTGGCCACCACCACAAGCCATTTACAGGAGAGATGTGCTCTCTTCAAATCTCTTTCCAAGAGGCCTGTTTCCCTTTAAGGGTCTGCCTAATTAGATCATTGCCCTATCCAGGGCAATCTCTTTTGGGATTAACTCAAAACTAGTTCTCTTTGAAGCTTAATTAAGCCTAAACCTTCGAAGTCTCTACCACATAGCCTACCTTAATTAGGAGAGTGATGTAACATCACATTCTCAATCCCCACCCCTACAGGCAAGTAGATGGTTCACGGAAGGCTGTTATGGCTGGGACCTACCTGAATGTTTTCCCAATTCAGTACCCCAGGGAATAGGCTCAGAGCTCAACCTCGCCCCCTCTGATGGATGGCTTTGAAGATATTCCTCACTTGAAAGAACAGCAACTAGAACTTCTGCGATGAGCACCAAGTGATGGGCTCTGGGATAGTTTATCTCTAGCCTAATCACAACTTCAGTCCACACAAGTGATCATTCATGGCCAAATTCGTAAGAGAGAGCACATGTCCCCCCTCCTTCAACATTAATCCCATCATAAAGGCACTCAAAAAAGGTTCTGACAATGAGTTAATTTGCTAAGACAACGGGTACTTCCAGGAATTGTGTACTTTTCTAAATGATGCTCTAGTGAAACCAATTCACTTTTTAAAAATGCCTCTTTCCTTCAGGGAGAATCCATTCACTTCAATGGGTTTATGTTATTTTCTTACACATAAGGATTCTCTATGAAAATGTTAAAACTATAAAGGGGGAAAATAGGAAGAAAGGAAAGGAGAGCACATACCCTCTTTTTCCCTTAACCGGTATGCAGTTTCTAACATTGAAGCTGTCCAGTTTGTTTTGAACCAAATTTTAATGCCGTCCAATCTCTTTTTTCCAGCAGATCCTCTGTGCATTTTTAAGTAGTTCTCAAGCTGTGTGTGCATGTTGAAAAGCTCACTGACTCCCTGCTTCATGTTGGAATTTGTATGTGTATAAATTGCTGTGAGAGACTTCCCAAACTCTTGATATTGTATCTGCTCCCTTTCCTTGCTGGAGCTGGGATTATACCAAATTAAGAAACAATTTGTCTTTCCCTAATGTAATAGTCACCTGTTGCTTTTGTGAACCAGGCTATCTTATACTGCCTCACAGATTCATTGAGTAAAATGTGTTTGCAGTCAAATTTGTACTTGAATGTTCTCATCCTAGAACATGCAGATGTGGTAGAGCAACACGAGTCAGAAGCCAAAAAAAAAAAAAAAACCCTGTTGTCAGCTGTTAACTAAATGTCAAAACAAAGGTGATTGCACTATTCTAACCCTGTGACTCCAACTATTTCCTTCTACTGGTGGTGGGGACTATAGGAGGTTATTATTAGGAGACAATAAAAACAGTATGACACAGTCTATAAAAATGTACCCTTTTAATGTGGCTGAACTGATAGGTGGTTGAAAGAGAAAGTTGAAAGGGAATTGATATAAAAAGCCAATATAAATCCAGTACCTTTCTGGGATTTCTGAAAAGACTTAAGATCATAGGCATTAAAGGCAGAGACATCCATCTCACACAAGTTATATTTTGAAAGTCAATGCTTAGGGCAGGATTTATTATAGTCCGAATTTTCCTTAAATGTTTGTAAGGACGTTGTTATAACAGAGACAGGCATAGACATCTCTAAAGTGAGGAATGTGAACTTTCATTGTAATTGAACATAAAGTATTTGTTTTAATTTAATTTTTAGAGGTCATGTATCCAAATAAACATATAATATCTCTATTTATTGTTTATTTGTTTACTTGGTACTGAGATTCAAACCCAGAGTTTCATGAATGCTACACAGGTACTCTGTCCTTAAGAAACCCCCAGTCCAGTAGTATGTTTTTAAAACTAGATGCCAGGAGCCTGGACAGATGGCTTAGCAGTGAAGAGTACTTGCAGCTCTCCCGGAGGACCCATTTTGGAGTCCCAGCACCCACATGATGACTCAAAACTGTCTGGAATTCCAATTTCTGGTGATCTGACCCCCTCTTTTGGCCCTCTGGGCACTGCACCTATTGGCACACGTAACATACATGCAGGCAAAACACTCATACACATCAAATAAAAATAAATACCTACTTAAAATAAATGAGTAAATAATGCTTGATATCAGAAAGATTCTCTTGCTTTAAGAGGCACAAAGACATTGAGAGTGAATGGAAATTCATATATTAATCATCCTATGCAGAAGTAGACCAGACATTTGTTTTGGTTTCATTTCCAGTTAATGACAAAAGCAATTTAGGGGATGGGAGGCTTTATTTTAGCTCACAACTCCAGGTTATAGTCCATCACCCAGAGAAGTCACTGCTGCAGGATCTGGGAAGAACTGTGTACACTATAACCATAGTCAGAAGAGAGCAATGGATTCATAGTAATGTTCAGCTGTTTTTTTTGTTTGTTTGTTTGTTTGTTTTTTCCTTTTGAACAGTTCAGGGCACAGCCCAAGAAATGGTGCCACACATATTCAGGAGTCTCAACTTCATCTAACCAAA